TGGAGGAAGTGGTGTGGCGAAGATTACTTGACATAATGGGTTTGTGCACCTGCCTGGCTTCCCTCACCTGGGGCACACCTCCACCCACACCACCCACCTACACCCGACCACACTCAACCCACCTCACGCACTCACAGTCTACCGCACGCACTCGCAACCCACCTCACGCACTCGCAACCCACCTCACGCACTTACACCTTAAGCAGGGGTAGAAAAAGCCTGAGCTACCCTAGGCTTTTTTCACGGGAGACATCTCCCGTCACGCAGGGTGCAGTCGCACCTCCACAGATCTCCAGTATCATCTATTGATACTGGTAATGGCTCAAAAGGGCCACCACTTACGGGCTATTCATGCCCGTGCCACCTCCTGGGTGGCTTAATCTTCTCTCTCTCTCTAAGGGAGAGGGGACGGGAGACATCTCCCGTCACGTAGGGTGCAGTCGCACCTCCACAGATCTCCAGTATCAGCTCTTGATACTGGTAATGGCTCAATAGGGCCACCACTTACGGGCTATTCATGCCCGTGCCACCTCCTGGGTGGCTTGATCTTCATCATCATCTAGGCTTTTGAGATGTATCTTATTGACTCAATAAACTTTAACATCAAATTATAGCCTACTGTAAACATTCTCATATCCACCACCCACACTCAAGCCACCACACACACACTGTTGATTGACAGTTGAGAGGCGGGACCAAAGAGCCAGAGCTCAACCCCCCGCAAGCACAATTAGGTGAGTACACACATTCCACCCATCAACAGAATCTCTGACGAGATATTTTTGGAGGTGGCAAACGACTTCAAGGAATGCATCTTGGGAGTCATTCCGTTGGGTGGTGAGAAGTGGCGCTGACTAAGTAGATATGCTACAAGGAGTGAGATGGACATTGAAAACATTGACCACAAAATGTCACTAGAAGCCACTGTGTTTTAATCGTCGTATATGTAGTGACAATGAAGACCAAAGAAAGATGTGAGGAGGAGGGAATAAAAGGCAATGGAGGAAAGGGAAATACCAGAAGGTTAGAGAATTCCTGGAGGGGAAAGAATGGGGAAAAAGAGAACTCAAAGGAAAATCAACACATGACATGACGGACAAACTCAGAGAAGCTGAAGAAAGATTTATACCACCACCAAGGGTTCACGGAACGTACTTATTTCTCATTATGTGAAATGAGCAATAAGTACGCTCGTTGAAGGGATCAGACACCATACACGCATCTATATCACGGTTAATAGTGCGGGAACTCGCGCTTCACACGGGAGGCATCTCCTGTCACGCAGGGTGCAGTCGCGCCTCCACAGATCTCCAGTTTCAGCTCTTGATACTGGTAATGGCTCAAAAGGGCCACCACTTACGGGCTATTCATGCCCGTGCCACGTTTTAGGTGGCTTAATCTTCATCAATCAATCAATCGGGAACTCGCACGGAAATCAGACCGCGGTAAGCATGGCCAGGTGAGTGCCGCCAGGTGAGCACCCAGACGCCCAGCAGGTGTTAGAGGTGAAGCCATAGACAGTGGTGGCAGGTGTGGCCTCAGTCCTGTCTACATGTTGCACGGCGCGTAGAGCGCAACCGTGCAGTGACGGATGTCGCCTCCCGACACCGCTGAGCGACAGTCAACAGGACTGTCAGGCAGGCATAGTTGCTCAAGTGTAAATCTATACACAAATGTGTGTATTTGTGTATTTCATTCACCCGACGCTCTGGAGCTCAATACACATAAATGTGTATTTATATGCAAATAAGGAATTAAATCGTTAGCACGTACGAAGTTCAGCTTTTACATGATATGATTTTTGTTGTTAATTTTGTTAATTTCTTGTGAGCTGTAGTTGGTATTCACTTACTTGAAGAGGGCATAATTAAGCCACCTGTTTTCCACCTAATTCGTCGCAATTTTTACGGAATCAATCAGTTAAAAATACGACCTGGTGAAGATTAGATCACCGCCATGTTGTCGTTTTCTACGCGTGGACACTGAGAGGGTAGGAGCGTCGCTTGGTGTTCCTGTATGTCCTATAGGAACTTTATATTATAGGTTTTATATCCGCTAGACCAGCCTAGCGGGTATATCAGCCAGCCTAGCGGGTATATCAGCCAGCCTAGCGGGTATATCAGCCAGCCTAGCACCAGGGAAACACACCAACATGCTATTCTTCCCGTCCCAGAGCCAGATTCACGAAGCAGTTACGCAAGTACTTACGAACGTGTACATCTTTCCTCAATCTTTGACGGCTTTGGTTACATTTATTAAACAGTTTACAAGCATGAAAACTTCCCAATCAACTGTTGTTATTGTTATAAACAGCCTCCTGTTGCTTCCGAGCTCATTAATTGTTTAATAATTGGAAACAAAGCCGCCAAAGATTAAGAATAGATGTATAAGTTCGTAAGTGCTTGCGTAACTGCTTCGTGAATCTGGCTCCCAGTTGCTAAGTGCCCGGTCCATGGACCTGCGAACCTCCAACAGTGAAAACTTTCCCAACTTTATCGTCCGTGTTTCTCGTAATACTAGTCCACTGTAGCCCATGTCCACTGTAGGGTTGGGCCTCGACAACTTCATCCACCCGACACACGTCTACGAGAGCAGTGGAGCGGTTATGACATACAAATGCCGCCACTTTCCCTCCCCCTGTCCTTGTCTCAGTCGTCTGCCCTCTCTCCCGGCTGGTGAGTTGAGAGATAAACATTCTCCTCCTTTAGAAGCTGCAGTTGATTTTTCACTAAGTACAATTCAACTTTTTACTCAAGACAGAGTATATCGAGATTACCTTCCCCATGATGCGACCCTCAACCACTGTCTGTTGTTGTTGTTATAGATTCAGCTACTCGGAACAAGTTCCAAGAAGCACGGGCTATGGTGAGCCCGTAGTGGACTTACCTGGCACAGGACCGGTGCTGAGTGTGTATCAACCACTGTCTAACTGCCGGGTATTTATTTTACTGCTTTGCGAACAGTCACATCAGGTGAAAGGAAACGTGCCTAACTGTTATTGTCCTTCCCCGGGATTGACCCCGAGTCCTTTGATCGTAAGCTGAGGACGTAGACTACTGCCCTATATATATGGAAACTTTATTGTACATGGTTGTTAAGTATGCCATAATGAATGGCGATATTAATTACAAGTGACGACTGTGGATGAAGTGGTTTTAGGCTCCGGCCTGGAGTGTGAGGACACTGAATGACGTGTATTTTGTCATTGTAGTAATACATTGACGTGTATTACACGTACAATGACGTGTACATTGGTTGTGAGTGTAGCGGTGTTGTGTAACCCTCGGGTGAGTGGGACAGTGTGAGGGTAGCACGATAATAGTCTCCACTCTACCTCATCTCCACCCAGAGAGAGTGTAGCAGTTTAGGTGTGCAGGTACAAGTAGGCTACTGGTGCTGACGATCACCACATAATAGACAACAGGTAGCGAGGTACCCGGTATTACCAGTTGCAACAACACTACCACATTATTCCTCCAACCTCACAACCAAATTACAATTTTTTTAATTTTATTGCAACGTAAAAGTAGTTAAAATAATTTTGAGGTTATGTTGTTTACTGGGCAATGCCTCTCCTCCCGGGCAAATCGGCCCAAACAACGTTCATGCACCATTCAACCAACGTTGGTAACGTTGAAAAAACCTTCGTTGGATTAACGTTACTGGCGCTTATTTTATATACAGAGTGTGGTAAGACTTGTCCTTGGTGAATGCCACTTGTGAGCGCGCCGACCTCCCAGGTCTTTCTCCCTTTCTGATTGAAGAATTTGTCTTCCCTTCATGCGGGTCTTAGGACCATCCAGCACTTTTAGGCAATGGCTGGTGTGTACAGATTATGGTACTAGGACAAGCAGTGGTGAGACCCTGGCTGCTTAGGTTCGAATCCTTGAGGACTATTCAACCTTTGCACCCACGCGCACACACAGAAAAAGCCAGACAGAATAACTGCAAGTTAAGCACTTCTAAACAATGCTTTGGAAATTATCGGCAATGTCTTTATAATTAAATATAAGGGTAATTAAAACAGTAATAAAGCCCTCCACAATTTGCTGACACAAGCGCGCACAGGATGCAGAATGATTACGAACGATTGATTACGTATGTTACGAACGGGCGAGTAGCCTCTTCCTCACTTTATTTACAATATTTTAGCGCAAGCCCAAGTCAAGCTTAGGAGCGAATTTACATACCCTTGCAGAGTTTACAATGATGATTAGTTTGCGTTATTCATTCTGTAAAAAGGTGATAGATATTGAGTTCTTGTTAGCATGTTGCTAGACAGTAATTTGCTGCATAGGCTAGCGTATGCATTTTTTGTCTAGCAGTCTATAATGTATTAATGTATAAGAATATTTAGTCAAGGTTGACTTGTTATTTAATTTGCATGTTGCATTCTTGCATTAGGGTACAGAGTATGAGTTTGCAAATGGACTATATATATATATTCTTGTTCCTCAAAAAATAGTAATGTTCAATTTCATAATTCTGATATTTGTATGTGACGTGGGATTTCTTGCATGTCATTTTATGCAGTCAGAAGACCTAATATGCTTTTGAATAGTAGTTACTGGTTATATTATAGATATGCTTTAATATAGTCGTTGTCGAGTTATAGACATTGACCGATAAAACTTCAGCAAACCCGCTGAGGTGATGGTGCCACGTATTAGACTCCCAAAACCAATATTAATAGTTCGGGCAGCCAGTATTGGAATGACATGTACCAAATTGTGATTAGAGGTTGATAGGAATATTGTAAAGTATTTCTTGTGTTCCACACATGCCAGTGATAAACTTTCGTTTGTGTAATTCTTATGAGAAAGTCGTTATGTCGATTTGGCACCACCGTGTTGTCTGCGGGCAGAGGTTCTTCCAGCCCTCAGCTCAGTCAGTGCTGTGAAGGCATAGAGTGAGGAGGTGCGTCTCATAGGGCTCCTAATTATTGGATAAGTACCATTTTTTTTTTTTTGCCTCTGTTGGGGGATAGGATTGATCAGTCAGACATTCATAATGTTTATTAATTAGTGATTTTCCCAGTGATAATGTATTTGTGATTACTACACTCAGGTGAATTGTGTTTTAAGGGATGCTGATATGCCAGTAAGCAAGTAAGTTTGTTATAACTAACTATAAACGAATGAGTATTAATTCTCGTGGTGCCCTTGTGATAAATTCCTGTATTTAGGAATCTACAAGCACCTGGTGAAGTGCCTGTCTAGCTTGGTACCTAACATCTGCATCCAATTATCCAGGTACACTGATTGTTAATTAGTAGGTATTTTAGTCATCTTTAACCCTATGAAAACGGATTATTCTATTAGTAGGTAGCCCCTCGGCACTGACCTGAGGTGGCGGCATCTAGGCCACCTATTTCTTTTATATATTTACATACAGGAAGGTACAATGGGTTGTGAAAATATGTTGGCGATTAAGTAGTACAGTCTTACAATGCTGAATACAATGGGCCAATTTCAAACAGTAATATAACAGATGTGCACAGTAAACTACAGCTTACAGGATGGGTATTGAGTGCACAATAATCTACATATTTTCAGCCCGCTGTAAAGCAGGTGAGCTGATGCAATGTGCACAGGAGTATGTGCCACACACTGTGCACTATGAACACCTACCTTCATTGTACATCACAGTTATGTCATGTTCATCTAGTTAAACCAGAGCTCCTCTTATTGCCTTTATTATCACCATTTGTATATGCGGCCTACCAGGCTTCCTGTCCCCGACAATTTGAAACCATCTCGTGGCACTACTTCTTCACTGGTCTCTCTTTATTGCGGTAGAATAAGAAGAAAGTCTTGAACATTATTTCTCATCAAAGATATTGATATGTCTCGCATATAAATTTTGTTGCTTGTACATGTGATTATTATTATTATTATTATTATTTATTATTACTTACATATCGAATATGGTTAATTTTGTTCCCTCAATATAGGTATAGTTTTTTTATATAAAAATGTATTAGAAAAACTGCTTTCCATTTATACTTTAGAACATCATGAACCCACTTATTATTTACTAACACTTAACATTAGATAGCTCACTTTTGCAAAGAGAGTGGTAGACGGTTGGAAGAAATAGTGAAGGATGCTAAAACTCAGCAGTTCCAAAGGGTTATATGACACAACCAGGAAGACGGACACAACGAGCATACTAGTGTAATCATCCAGTAACTACACTTAGCCAGTTTTGCTGTTTTGTGTTTTGTTTGGTAACTATCGTTGTTAGACTAGTTACTTCACGTGTGATAACCTCGGTGTTAGCACTCCACTTTGTTTCCAATCATTTCTTAATTGTCCCGTCAGTAGATACGCGTCGCGTAGGTTAAGCTTCTTCAGTGCAACTGTTTAATTCGTGGCTGTTGATGTCTTGATTCATCTAGCATCTAATTGTCTTCACACAGTTGTCACACCTCACTTGAATCATATCCGGTATCGAGTGTGTCACACTCAATTGCTATTTTATAAGAGATACGCCTCGCGTAATTTCGGGCTGGGGAACTACCGTGAAGAGTGAGAGGGACGTAGCTCCCAGCCTTCGCTTCCACACAGCTGAGACTGCCAAGAGTCTCGAAATGGTTCAGGTTCTCCATGCGCTCCGTCCCCTCCGACAGCGAAGAGTGTCCACGGAGCGCCATTCCTTTGGACTCTGTGAACTGTGTCGGGAGGCTTCGGGATGGTGATGTCTTTGGGAAGACTTCATCGGACAACTCAGTAGGTGACGAAGAGCCTTCTGGAAGTAGGAGTTGCTTTACTGGGCTGGTACTCTGTGAGGGAGAGAGCTGCATTTGATCCTTGCGATCGTGAAGCATCCACTTCACTTGTGTATCGCCGAGTTGGACGGAGGTGTAGCCCTCAGTGCACTCCCCGGCAGCCTCTCTCTTAACAGGAGATTCTCTCCTCTGGCCTGTGGTCCAGAGGCCTTGGTCGTCTTTCTCCAGGACGGCCAAGGCCTCACCACCAACACTCCCGGCCACGTGTCTCCCTCCTGCAAAAATATATACATGTTAACAGAACCCTTCTTAAAGTTCGCCATTTACATAAGCCTAATTTATGTAACAAGCCATACAGTCATACACAAGCCTATTTTATGTAAACAAGGCTTATGTAATAATAATTTTACACGCACGCGTGACCGCTTTTTACATACACACAAGATTATCCCGTCAATACCATAGTTATACAATTTCTGTTTTCTGGAACAGGAAACCTGTACATTAGGCTTATCGAGATCTCCATGCACTCCGTCCACCAGGCCAGCTACTGACCTTCCCCAGGATGCAACCCACAATAGCTTCCTACCTCCCGGGTTCCTATTTACTACTACTAAGTGAACAGGTACATCAAGTGAAAGAAAACATACCCAACCGTTTCTGTCCTACCCGGGAACTGAACCCGGGTCCCTCGATTGTGAGTAGAGTACCAAGACCATTGTGCTAGTGGTTATCTTGAGATGATTTCGGGGCTTAGCGTCCCCGCGGCCCGGTCCTCGACCAGGCCTCCTTTTTGTTACCCGCCTCCCCCCTGGAAGCAGCCCGTAGCAGCTGTCTAATTCCCAGATACCTATTTACTGCTAGGTAGCAGGAGCATCAGGGTGAAAGAAACATTTTGACCATTTGTCTCCGCCTCCACCGGGCATCGAACCCGGAACCTCAGGACTACCAATCCGAAGCGTTGTCCACCCAGCTGTCAGGCGCCTCCTGTGTATATGTGGTGTGTATATTCACGTCGTGATACATGCCAGATAACCCTGTCAGTATCTTGTCAGTTATAAGCTTTAAGAGTTAGTAGCTTCTAAATCTACATCTAAAATTTATAGTATATGATTATAATTATTACATGTTATATTATTATGACTGTTTTTGGTCAATATACAGGAAATTTGTGTAAACTAACCCAACTGTAAATGTGCAAACATTTATGAATAAAGTATTTGAATATGAATTTAACAGATGGTAATGACAGGGAGTCAGACTCACCTGTCGCCTGGGTATCCTTCCCTCGCTCGCTCTCAGAGTCTACCTCGTCTCTCTCTCCTCTGTCTGCCTCTGTTTCCCCTCCTTCACTGCTCCTTATTTCATTTTTCTGTTTCGCCTGTTTCCTTTCTTTCTTGTGTCTTCTTCGTTCATTTTCGGCTTCTGGGTTGCCAGCTCTCCTTTGCCTCCTCTCTCGGGATTTCTTATTCTTCTTCTTGTGAGATATTTTCGCCTTCGATGTCTGCTCGTCCTCAGTCTCGTGTTCTTTCCCCTCCCCTACAGCACCGTCCCCTCTCCCATCGTCCCCTCTCCCATCGTCCCCTCTCCCATCGTCCCCTCTCCCATCGTCCCCTCTTCCATCGTCCCCTCTCCCATCGTCCCCTCTCCCATCGTCCCCTCTCCCATCGTCCCCTCTTCCACCGTCTCCTCTCCCATCGTCCTCTCCCCCACCCTCTTCTAGGCCCGACCTAAGGCTACGCTGCTCCACTTCATTGCTCCACCTCTTGGGGATGATGATGACCTCGGGGTCGTCGTGGCGCCAGCGGATGCGGGTCATCTCACACTGGAGCTTGACGGCGGCCCCCACCAGGGTGCGGATGGTGGGCTGCAGGGCGGGGTTGACCCGCCGCTTGCGTCGCTTGTGCTTCCTGGTGGGAGAGTTGGGCGGGACGGGCCGCAGAGGCTCCTCCGGCGGGGTGAAGGTCAGGGCCAGCTGTTAAAGGATTACGTAGCATTAAATAGGATTACATAGCATTCAATAGGATTGCATAGCATTCAATAGGATTACATAGCATTCAATAGGATTACATAGCATTCAATAGGATTACATAGCATTCAATAGGATTACATAGCATTCAATAGGATTACATAGCATTCAATAGGATTACATAGCATTCAATAGGATTATATAGCATTCAATAGGATTACATAGCATTCAATAGGATTACATGGCATTCAATAGGATTACATGGCATTCAATAGGATTACATAGCATTCAATAGGATTACATAGCATTCAATAGGATTACATAGCATTAAAAAGGATTACATAGTATAAAATCTATGCCTGTGCATAATATATACTTCACTGTGTCCGGGGACAGGGAGCCAGAGTGCATTTATACACGTTTGGCTTTTATCCAGGTCCCCTCCACCCCCCCCCCCCCCCAAGGACGAATTACTGACCCCCGCCTAGGATGCAACCCCCACAACAGCTGACTAACTTCAGAGTACCTACTCACTGCTAGGTGAACAGAGGCATTAGGTGAAAGGAAATGTACCCAACCATTTCTGTTCCACTCGGGATTCGAACCTGGAATTCTCGATTGTGCGTAGAGAATGAACCCGGCCACTACCAGGACACTGTATATACAAGCTGTGTATATAATATATATACAAGTTGTGTATATAATATATATACAAGCTGTGTATATAATATATATACAAGCTGTGTATATAATATATATACAAGCTGTGTATATAATATATATTCAAGCTGTGTATATAATGTATATACAGGCTGTGTATATAATATACAGGCTGTGTATATAATATACAGGCTGTGTATATAATGTATATATACAGGAAGCCTATGCACAATATATACACAGGTTTCCTCTCCGACAAACTTAATTATTAATTATTACTATTTAGAGGAGTTAGGCTTAGTCTGTAGGTTTTCTGTGAGTCAACTTAATCAAAGAAAATGTAAATTACATGGTGGGACAAACTCTCTTAATTATATTCGTGGTTTGAAACGAGGTGTTGCTGTGAATGCAAGTCACGTTCGTTCTCGAGTCACAATCGGGAATCCCGGACGAGACAGAAATGATTGGGCACGTTTCCTGTCACCTAATGCCTCTGTTCACCTAGCAGTAAATAGATTCCCGGGAGTTAGTCAGCTCGTTGTTGGGTTGCATCTTGGGGGGGGGGGAAACCCAATATAAGCCTAACGTATACATTCGACAGGCTATTTGTCCCCTACAAAAGTTAACTTAAGACGGTTCGTAACCGATTTTGAAATCTACTAAACCTAATCTACCCTAATGTAACCCCCCAAATAACCTGACCCAATTGAGTCTAATTGGCCTAACCTTATACATAGCGACCTTATACGTGGTTTTGACAATTAGAAAACGAGCTTTGTCGAAACGCTTGTGAACGATTTGACGACCTCGTCTTGTTTTTGGGTATTATCAGTTCGTACACATGATAGATCGACAATGCTCATTTTCTGATTGTCAACCGTAAATACAGTTAGGTTATCTGATTGTCAACCGTAAATACAGTTAGGTTATCTGATTGTCAACCGTAAATACAGTTAGGTTATTTGATTGTCAACCGTAAATACAGTTAGGTTAGAATTTGTTATCTTAGGTTAGGCTGTGTTAAACTCATTTGAGTTAGGTTAGGTTGATAGGTTTTAACTCCCCCCCCCTATTAGCGAACCGTCTTGTGTACAGTGGTGACCTGTAGTCGTCGACCACATACCCCCTCCCTGCTCCTCTTACCCTGGTGTAATGTGTCTTGACCACGATGAAGTAGTGGACGCCCCAGAGGAATTGGAAGACGGAGGCGAACCCTCGTATGGTTGGGGTGTAAGGCAGAGTGATGAAGACCCACACCAGCTGCATGGCCAGGCTCACCACCATCCACGACAGCCACGGCACCAGTAGCCACCGCAGCTCCTGCACCAGCCAGATATAGTCCCCAGGTTAGTGAGGGCGGTCACACACACACACACACACACACACACACACACACACACACACACACACACACACACACACACACACACACACACACACACACACACACACACTGTGAATTGTGAGAAATAAGACTAAAGAGAAGAGTAGAAGGAAGTAGGAAGCAATAAATAATTTAGGAACACAAGAGGCAATATTACCACCAGCTGTAATGTGAAGCATCAGCAGCAGCGAGGAGTGTATGAGCTGTTGACCTCGCTGAGGCAGCAAGAGTCTAGTACCGTGACAATTACCAGGAAGGAAGTTACACAGGGTGAACTATGCGAAGAAATGGAGCTAGTTAGCACTCCTATATGACTCGAAGCAACTATGGCAGAAGACCGAGCACCGATGAACCAAGCAGTAGCAAGACAAAGGGAACACTCATATATGACTCGAAGCAACTATGGCAGAAGACCGAGCACCGATGAACCAAGCAGTAGCAAGACAAAGGGAACACTCATATATGACTCGAAGCAACTATGGCAGAAGACCGAGCACCGATGAACCAAGCAGTAGCAAGACAAAGGGAACATACGACTCGGAAGTCACTCAAAGACGGCGAAAGTGGAGGTCCAGGAAAAATAGACTAACGTGATGCGACATGTGCATGACATTCTGCATGAAACGCAGGAAAACACTGAACAGAAGGGCACGGAAAATGAATAACATTTGCCATGGGTATGCACGGAACTGACACAACCTTTCCATATACTGTAGACCCCTGAAAGAAAACGCCGACACGCCGAGTCAAGTCACTATCGAAGATATACATTACTGGAAGTACGTGAGATACTGACAGCTAGAAAACAGCCATAATAATTTCCAAATACAGACACGTAAGGTGTCCATGTCCTGCATGTTACGTAAAGCGTTGACACAACATTCTAAAGGTTAGAATAGCAAGCCTTAAGAGAAATGAATCGTTACAAAACATCAGCGTGATAGTTGCCAGGCGAGAAATAAAATAGTGGAAGGACTGCACATTTACCCACTGCTAGGAGCCAGACTGTCGAGAGCAGCGCTCAGCGTCAGTGGGATGAGCAGTCATCATGAAGGAAAATAGTGGAAGGACTGCACATTTACCCACTGCTAGGAGCCAGACTGTCGAGAGCAGCGCTCAGCGTCAGTGGGATGAGCAGTCATCATGAAGGAAAAAAGTAGTCATCATAAAGGAGAAAATTATTATGAAGAAGTAGTGAGCATTAAGGTGAGAGGTGGGTATGGAAGGAGACAACATGAGGAGGGGGTACTGACCTTCCTAGCACCGTGGATCAGCAGCAAGCACAGCAGCCACTGGACAGCGTTGATGCACCCGCCGGCGTAGCTGAGATTACCATCTGTCAGCACACAAGCACGCCACTTTAGCCCGGAACTATACACACACTACACTCACCAGTCGAGGATGTTCACCTCACGCCTGTTACAACACCTTCACTCACTTGTAACACATCCCCACCAAAATGTTACAAAAAAACCTTGTCATTTCTTGTAATTGTATAAGTAAATAAGTTCAGTAAGTTAGTGTGAGGGGAACAAGTTCAAGGGTGGCTTACTTAATTTATAGTCGAGACACCGTTGGCAGTACTGGTAGGGGAGATAGGCGCTGATAAAATCCACCACAGTCGCGAACCCGCCCCAGATCTGCCCAGAAAATAATGAATCGTGACAATATTTTCCGTTCGTCTTAAGAAAAAGTCATTTAAAAACAGGCTGAGGTAAATACTCTGTTGCTCCAACCAGTTGGACTGGGAGGGACAGCGACGGCCTCGCTTGTTGAAGGGGTCGGCGTTCGATCCTGAGTGGTTCCAGTGTTTCTAGGTGCAGTTCCTTCCCCTCAGTCCTATTCCAGCTCCTTGTCTCCCTATCCCAGATCCTTGTCCTCATGACCCAGTTCCTTATCCTAGGTCCTTGTCCTCATATCCCAGTTCCTTATCCTATCCCTTCCAACAAAATTTTTACTTATTTTGTTTCTGTGACTCGCCTGTCGAGCCTTACTTAATGTTGTGAGCACAGTGGTCTACGCCCTCGACTCACAACCGAGGGACCTGGTTTCAATCCTCGGGCGGGACAGAAACGCTTGAGCACTGTTTCCTTTCACTTGATGCCGATGTTCATCAAGCAGTAAAAGAGGTATCCTTGGTACCTCTTTATTGGTAGGTGGACAGCGGCATTAGGTGAAAAGAAAAGTGCCCAACTACTACTGTCCCACCCAGGGATCAAACCCTGGATCCCCATTTGTGAGTCGAGAACGAATACATCAATATCCATCGATAGATTCAAACATTTTTTTATAGAGTTCACTAATACAGAAAGGTCATTATTACATAAACGAAAGTAAGGATGCTAAGAATACATAGTAACTATGTATTTGCAGGACATTAGGGGGGATAGCAGGTATATAACTCAGGATAGCGTTGATCATAACAAAGGGGTAGCAGGTAGTGTTGGTCAGGATAGTGACCAACACTATCCTGATACTCAGAACACTATCCTGATACTCAGAACACTATCCTGATACTCAGAACACTATCCTGATACTCAGAACACTATCCTGATACTCAGAACACTATCCTGATACTCAGAACACTATCCTGATACTCAGAACACTATCCTGATACTCAGAACACTATCCTGATACTCAGAACACTATCCTGATACTCAGAACACTATCCTGATACTCAGAGCACTATCCTGATACTCAGAACACTATCCTGATACTCAGGATAGCGTTGATCATAACAAAAGGTGGGTAGGAGGTAACTCACAATGCCGACCCCGCCTATCCAGTAGCAGGCAGCTCTGTTCTTGACACAGAAGCAACAGGACAGGGAGTAGCAGTAGTTCTCGCGGCTGAAGTGGCAACCCATCCTTCACCTGTCCAAACATTGTCCTCTTGTTATAAACACCCGAACTGTGTAGCTGTGTACTCGTGTGTGTCTACGTAACTCTGTAATTGTATAGCTGAAAATGTTGCTTGTGTAGCTGCATAACACAATGTAATACAATTTGTAAAAATTTACTTTATGTATGTACCTTACCTAAATAAACATTTTATTTTATTTTTTATTTTTAATTTTGTTCCTGGGTACTGAGTGTTATTTATTAATTTGTTTATGCCTATAAAGGACAATGATATTTTAATATTTAATTATTCCAATGAGTATCATTGTCCTGGTCACAAAAGTAAAGTTTATGGGAAATAATAGCCATTTTTCTATACTTTGGAGGTATAAGCAATTTCCTAAATAACGCTTACTAACCGGAAAGCTTTGAGAAATAACCCAGTCATTAAACTTCTGTTTTGTCTCAGCCATCGTGGCGACAGAAAACGTTAACACGGTCATTTTTGTATTAGTTTCCCCTTAGAATATGAAGTCTGTCAGTAACATTGATCATGAGTGTGTCAAGGGCAGGAAGGAAGTGAGCTCCTGCTGTTGTGAGTGGTGACGGACCACACGGACGGCGGGGAACTTTGGTGTGTCCCTCACCAAAGTTCAGTAGTCACAGTCACCAAAGTTCAGTAGTCACAGTCACCAAAGTTCAGTAGTCACAGTCACCAAAGTTCAGTAGTCACAGTCACCAAAGTTCAGTAGTCACAGTCACCAAAATTCAGTAGTCACAGTCACCAAAGTTCAGTAGTCACAGTCACCAAAGTTCAGTAGTCACAGTCACCAAAGTTCAGTAGTCACAGTCACCTAAGTTCAGTAGTCACAGTCACCAAAGTTCAGTAGTCACAGTCACCAAAGTTCAGTAGTCACAGTCACCAAAGTTCAGTAGTCACAGTCACCAAAGTTCAGTAGTCACAGTCACCAAAGTTCAGTAGTCACAGTCACCAAAGTTCAGTAGTCACAGTCACCAAAGTTCAGTAGTCACAGTCACCAAAGTTCAGTAGTCACAGTCACCAAAGTTCAGTAGTCACAGTCACCAAAGTTCAGTAGTCACAGTCACCAAAGTTCAGTAGTCACAGTCACCAAAGTTCAGTAGTCACAGTCACCAAAGTTCAGTAGTCACAGTCACCAAAGTTCAGTAGTCACAGAAAATATTCATATAAATATATTTTTCTCTGGCCGCAATAACACATTGTAAAGAAGCCTAATGACTGGAGGCTTTCCCGGGGCTTTTATGAATTGCAGTTTGTTTTTTCTTTATTAAATAATATACAATATAAAGATCATATTTACATCGATTTATAAATATATATATATATATATATATATATATATATATATATATATATATATATATATATATATATATATATATATATATATATATACGAAAGTTGCATATTGTCCTGGGGACCATTCAGGCTTGTTCGCATATATATATATATATATATATATATATATATATATATATATATATATATATATATATATATATATATATATATATATATATATATAAAGAGAGAGACAGGCTGAATGAACGCGAAAACCTTAGTTTACTAAGAACTAAATGACCCGACCTGGATTCGAACCCATGCCGCTAGGGACCACCCCTAAACGTACACAGTACTAAGATTATCATTGGTGAGGTGGTGGTCACAGTACTGTGACCACCACCTCACCAATGATGGTCACAGTACTTAGGTATTCCACGCCCCTAAGTCATATAAACTGTATTCCACACTACCTTGAATGTAACATTTAATTATGGAGGGATTGTGGGTGTATGCATGGAGGGTGGTTATCCTCGTGGTCACCCATCCTATTGCTGGGTTGAACAAATGGTGCTGAACCTGACTGATCAAGCAATTCACGCCTCGGGTAACACGCACACACGCCTACCTCGTCCAGTATTCTTTTATTAGCTGGCCGGATTCGTTACATCCGTAAGTACGGATATAACGTCATCTCTCTCAACCCGTGTGTACGAAAACTCCCAGCATGACTCTACCATAGGCCGATCCTGTTTAACAACTCCTAACATGACCTCTTCAATAGACCGATCCTGTTTAACAACTCCTAACATGACCTTTTCAATAGACCGATCCTGTTTAACAACTCCTAACATGACCTTTTCAATAGACCGATCCTGTTTAACAACTCCTAACATGACCTTTTCAATAGACCGATCGTGTTTAACAACCCTAAACATGGCTTTACATCGTGTTTAACGACCCTAAACATAGCTTTACATCGTGTTTAACGACCCTAAACATAGCTTTACATCGTGTTTAACGACCCTAACATGGCTTTACATCGTGTTTAACGACCCTAAACATAGCTTTACATCGTGTTTAACGACCCTAAACATGGCTTTACATCGAGTTTAACAACCCTAAACATGGCTTTACATCGTGTTTAACAACCCTAAACATGGCTTTACATCGTGTTTAACGACCCTAAACATGGTTTTACATCGAGTTTAACAACCCTAAACATGGCTTTACATCGTGTTTAACGACCCTAAACATGGCTTTACATCGAGTTTAACAACCCTAAACATGGCTTTACATCGTGTTTAACAACCCTAAACATGGCTTTACATCGTGTTTAACGACCCTAAACATGGCTTTACATCGTGTTTAACGACCCTAAACATGGCTTTACATCGTGTTTAACGACCCTGAACATGGCTTTACATCGTGTTTAACGACCCTAAATTAACGACCCTAAACATGGCTTTACATCGTGTTTAACGACCCTAAACATGGCTTTACATCGTGTTTAACGACCCTAAACATGGCTTTACATCGTGTTTAACAACCCTAAACATGGCTTTACATCGTGTTTAACGACCCTAAACATGGCTTTACATCGTGTTTAACGACCCTGAACATGGCTTTACATCGTGTTTAACGACCCTAAACATGGCTTTACATCGTGTTTAACGACCCTAAACATAGCTTTACATCGTGTTTAACGACCCTAAACATGGCTTTACATCGTGTTTAACGACCCTAAACATGGCTTTACATCGTGTTTAACGACCCTAAACATGGCTTTACATCGTGTTTAACGACCCTAAACATGGCTTACATCGTGTTTAACGACCCTAAACATGGCTTTACATCGTGTTTAACGACCCTAAACATGGCTTTACATCGTGTTTAACGACCCTAAACATGGCTTTACATCGTGTTTAACAAAATTATTTTCCCATATATTTCGAGACGTTAGGAGTGGACAGGATGTTGACAATGCGTGCCTCGACTTTAGTGAAGCCTAGGCTACTGAGCCTCACGTGGGGACTCGCTGAGAGATCCGTAGATGGGGGCGGGAAGACACGATGGCTAAAACTGTTATTTCAAAGGAAACAGTTCAGAAATAAACTCAGTTTTAAGTCAGAGTGAGACACCGTATTGAGTGCCTCGCGGACCCTCTGGTGTACCATATATGAGCACCTGTAATCAGTAGTGACACAAGCCTGAAAATCAACATTTTCCAGACGATACAAAAAAGGGGACGAGAAATAAATTTATGAGACTGATAAGGGCTTCAATTTAGATGGGAGATGCGCCTTAAAATTGACGAAACATTGGCAGATGCAATTTAATGATATAGCGGAGTATATATATAATTATGTAATTTATGTAGTATATAATATATACGCAGTATATGATATAATGATATAGTAGTACGTCATGTGCTCACAACTGAGGCTCCTATGTTCAAGTCCCTGACAGGACAACTGACGTTTCTTGTCACCTGATGCCTCTGTTCACCTAACAGTAAATATGTACCCGAGAGTTAAGAGCACTGTTGTGGGTTGCACCTTGGAGAAGGGGTAAACAGTGACGTAGTTCTGGCTGTAGTTGCAACACTGTTATCAGTAGTTGTTGCAGCACTGTTATCAGTAGTTGTTGTAACACTGTTATCAGTAGTTGTTGTAACACTGTTGTCAGTAGTTGTTGCAGCACTGTTATCAGTAGTTGTTACAACACTGTTATCAGTAGTTGTTGTAACACTGTTATCAGTAGTTGTTGCAGCACTGTTATCAGTAGTTGTTGTAACACTGTTATCAGTAGTTGTTGTAACACTGTTGTCAGTAGTTGTTGCAGCACTGTTATCAGTAGTTGTTGTAACACTGTTATCAGTAGTTGTTGCAACACTGTTATCAGTAGTTGTTGTAACACTGTTATCAGTAGTTGTTGTAACACTGTTATCAGTAGTTGATGCAGCACTGTTATCAGTAGTTGTTGTAGCACTGTTATCAGTAGTTGTTGCAACACTTGTTATCAGTAGTTGTTGCAACACTGTTATCAGTAGTTGTTGTAACACTGTTATCAGTAGTTGATGCAGCACTTGTTATCAGTAGTTGTTGCAGCACTTGTTATCAGTAGTTGTTGCAACACTGTTATCAGTAGTTGTTGCAACACTGTTATCAGTAGTTGTTGCAACACTGTTATCAGTAGTTGTTGCAACACTGTTATCAGTAGTTGTTGCAACACTGTTATCAGTAGTTGATGCAGCACTTGTTATCACACAGCACAAATACACAGGGAAGTAAAAACACACAAAAACAAATAAGTACAAAAACAAACCCCCAACATACACATTAAAACACACAAAGGACACAAAAGACACAGAATAAACACACATACCAAACATACTTCACCCACATACTGCTTATATAAACATTCCCCCGCCCCGCCCCAGACCCTAATACCTACACTTAACTATACACAGAACTCTAATGCATAATCACATGAATTTATAGTTGAGACAATATTTATTCTGAATACACGTTAGAATTGACTGAGTCTTTGGGGGGGGGGGGGGTCGGTCGCCGCTTGGACGAACCTAGTCTGAGGGCGGGTTGGGTTGGTTACACTGCACTGGCTGAAAAAAATAAGTCTTGTTGATATGATTTAATTCGAAATAAAAATGCAGGTTAAATCATTACTGGGACCTTATCCTTGTTAACCGTGTTCCTGTAATCCATCGCGTTCATTGTTTGGATGTTGATGTGTTATCTTTGTACATGAATCTTGTTTTATGATGTAATATTTACGGCCAGCGCCTTCACACGCAACGTACCCAGACTGGGTACGGGTACCAGAGTAAGTGCCCGGTGTTGCGTGCGTGTGTAGGGAAGGGGGGTGTACAGATCACTTTCAAATGAAAGTGTGGCGACAGATGGCAGCAGCAGCAGGTGGTGGTGGTGGGAGAGCAGGAGCCAGGGATGACGCAGGCGGCGCCATGGTCCACTCACCTTCTCCAGTGATCAGTCAGGTCGACAGAGGGAGCCACGGCTGGGTGGTGGTGGCGGCGTGGAGGCGCTGTGGACGACTGCTCTGGGGCGCTGCTATCTACACCAGTGCCATCCTGTCTGCAGGCCCCGGGACTTCCCCTTGGCGGGCACCGGTGCCAGGCCACTGCCTCCCTCACTGCCTCCTCCTCCATGGGCCACACTCCCCTGCGCCATTTTGGGAGGGGAATAGCATCCGGTTAACAAGACTTGAAATGCCACATGCATGTCTGCTTATCGCATTGTTCGTGGACGAACACACACACTCTCCACTTTTAAAATGATCTTCAACCAAAATTTTTGCCAATTGCTGTGTAAAGAACACGCAGGTAACTTGGCGCTATCTCCGGCTAGTTCCCTTCTCCTTCGTGTTCATAACCTGATTGATAAAGATTAAGCCACCCAAGAGGTGGCACGGGCATGAATAGCCCGTACTTCATAAGCTCAAAGCTTTCTCTTCATATAGCTCATGGTAAGCAGCATCTACTAGTTTTTCCCTGGAATGTGATCCACCGAGCGGTTTACCACCAGCTTCCCAATTATTGCTGGGCGAACAGGGGCGGCGGACAGGTGTTATACTCAAATTGAATGTCCGTTGAGACATAACCAATCACAGGCAAGTAGGCCTCTGACGTCATGCCAGACAGACAGTCACCAGTCATGTTCCCAGCAGCAGCCTCAGTTCTCCTGACAGACTCAGAGTAGGTGGACCTCGGCTGGCCAGATATACTTCTGTTTGTCTCAGTCAGTAAATATACAGAAATATATCTGGCCAGCCGAGGTCCACCTACTCTGAGTCTATCGGGAGAACTGAGGCTGCTGCTGGGAACATGGCTGGTGACTGTCTGTCTGGCATGACGTCAGAGGCCTACTTGCCTGTGATTGGTTATGTCTCAACGGACATTCAATTTGAGTATAACACAGTTTAGGATTGGCGCCCAGTCAATTTTCGCAGGTCAGGCTTCGAACTCAGACGAGATCGCGGGCGAGGCACCGGGCGCGTGTCCACTGTTCTCATGATTTTCTCGAACCTGAACGCAAATAATCTACTAAATAAAGTCTGCAATTTTAATTTTTTTACTGCTTCACAACACCTGCCTGGACCATGGCAGTTTTCAGTACTGCTTCACAACACCTGCCTGGACCATGGCAGTTGTCAGTACTGCTTCACAACACCTGCCTGGACCATGGCAGTTGTCAGTACTGCTTCACAACACCTGCCTGGACCACAGCAGTTGCCAGTACTGCTTCACAACACCTGCCTGGACCACGACAGTTTTCAGTACTGCTTCACAACACCTGCCTGGACCATGGCAGTTGTCAGTACTGCTTCACAACACCTGTCTGGACCACAGCAGTTGCCAGTACTGCTTCACAACACCTGTCTGGACCACAGCAGTTGCCAGTACTGCTTCACAACACCTGTCTGGACCACAGCAGTTGCCAGTACTGCTTCACAACACCTGTCTGGACCACAGCAGTTGCCAGTACTGCTTCACAACACCTGTCTGGACCACAACAGTTGCCAGTACTGCTTCACAACACCTGTCTGGACCACAGCAGTTGCCAGTACTGCTTCACAACACCTGTCTGGACCACAGCAGTTGCCAGTACTGCTTCACAACACCTGTCTGGACCACAGCAGTTGCCAGTACTGCTTCACAACACCTGTCTGGACCACAGCAGTTGCCAGTACTGCTTCACAACACCTGTCTTGACCACAGCAGTTGCCAGTACTGCTTCACAACACCTGTCTGGACCACAGCAGTTGCCAGTACTGCTTCACAACACCTGTCTGGACCACAGCAGTTGCCAGTACTGCTTCACAACACCTGTCTGGACCACAGCAGTTGCCAGTACTGCTTCACAACACCTGTCTGGACCACAGCAGTTGCCAGTACTGCTTCACAACACCTGTCTGGACCATGGCAGTTGCCAGTACTGCTTCACAACACCTGTCTGGACCATGGCAGTTGCCAGTAACGTTCCGAACAAATTTCTTTATTTATTTCAAGTATATATTTTCACTAAATCAGTGGTGTTCGTCAAGCAGTGTGCCTGAGGGTGATCATCCTGACTATGACTGCACGAGTGGTCATGTCGGGAGACGCCTCACGATGGCTCGTCAGCGTGTATTTGGGATGCTCGAAACTGTTGTTGTTGTCTTGTAGTTGGTGGGGGGAAGGGGGCGTGATGGACGTGTTGTAGAGTGAGACTTGATGCTCTGGAGGGCGAGGCTGGATGTTGTGTTTATATGGCGTCAGCTGATTATTATTTATATGGCGTCAGCTGATTGTTGTTTATATTGCGTCAGCTGATTGTTGTTTATATGGCGTCAGCTGATTGTTGTTTATGTGACGTCAGCTGATTGTTGTTTATATGGCGTCAGCTGATTGTTGTTTATATGGCGTCAGCTGATTGTTGTTTATGTGGCGTCAGCTGATTGTTGTGTTTATATGGCGTCAGCTGATTGTTGTGTTTATATGGCGTCAGCTGATTGTTGTGTTTATATGGCGTCAGCTGATTGTTGTTGCGTCTGCAGTGAGGAATTCGTTTTCTCTATTAATTAATATATCTATAATTTCTATATATATATTTTCTATATACTCCCGGTGATTTGAGGTTTATGAACCGGTCTAATGTGGCTTAATTTTATGGCTGACTGGTGATATTTACCCAATGGTTTGACTATTTGATATTTTATATGTAGTGCGAAGTCTCCTCCCTATAATATGTGCTCGTTGTTGAAATGCACTGAGGGTGATAAGTATTGTTTGAAATTAATCCTGACACTATGATGTCTGAACACTGAATGCCAGTGTGCATAGCAGTGGATACAGAATGCTTTTATTGTTGTTGTTTAAGATTCAGCTGCTGGGGAACAAAAAGTTCCAAGTAGCACGGGCTATGGTGAGCCCGTAGTGGACTTACCTGGCACAGGAGCGGGGCTGAAACTAAAAAAAAAGTTGTTTTATGCCTGGCCTGTATTTATAGGCGTGTACCGATAGTTTAGTGTGTCCCCAGTCATGGTCTGATCATTGTTATATCTATTTACATTCTTACTGGTAAGTAAGAATTCTAAAAACTAAACAACTTCAGTTGACCAGACCACACACTAGAAGGTGAAGGGACGACGACGTTTCGGTCCGTCCTGGTTATTCCCAGATTGTTATATCTATTGCCTGGAATGTTTCCAAGTTCCTCAGGTGTTTTTAATGGTACCATGGTGTGTTGAGGAGCGTGAGGTGTTGCATTTAACTGGCAAATCTTGTGTGATGGCAACTTTTTAAGGCTCCGTTTCGTGCAGTATGGGGGAATTAGGTGATGTGTGATGTATCGTGCATTGCTTCTGCTAGTTGATCAAGGATTAGAGCAAAACAATAGTTTGTTGCACAACGTTAGGGACAGATCTACCTCTACACGGCGTACACGGCTACAAGTGTACTACGGGCTCACCATAGCCTGTGCTGCTTGGAACGTTTTGTTCCAGGTAGCGAATCTTAAACAACAACAAACAGGCTGCAAGTCTTCAGTGGCTCGACGAGAAGGTTGCCCTTTTAGGGATGGGACGATCCGCTTTGGGGACGGGCAGGGCAATGGAGAGGGAAAGGTGGTTTATTTATTATTAACATCTTTATTGACAAAATTACTTACAATTTTGGCTAATCTGAGGATTTTGATAGTCTTATTAAAGTGAGGATAATGCTGGTATTCACTGTCACGTAGGACAGAGGGTCATACATAAGACAATAGGCCTAAAGGAAAGGTGATGATGTTGGTATGGGGATGAGGAAAAGGGCGGGGAACATTGGTGGGAGACGGGGATAGGAGCGGGGGAATGTAGAGCGCTGGCACCTCTTATATTCATTTCACTTCATGACACTCGCTCACCTCTGCAAAAAGTTGTTTTTATCTTGATCGCTGAACCGCTGCACTAGAAGTCTCTTGTTGCTCTTTGCCCTTTCTAAGTCTCACCTCACCCTCCCCCCCCACACACCAGCCTATGGCTCCTTTTCCTCGGGTTCTCTTCACTAGTCTTCCTACTTCCTCTTGCAATTGTGGGTAAATCCGTCAGTAGCTTCTCATCGAATTCTAAGTTGGTAAGTAAGAATTCTAAAAACTAAACGACTTCAGTTGACCAGACCACACACTAGAAGGTGAAGGGACGACGACGTTTCGGACCTTCCTGGACCATTCTCAAGTCGATCGACTTGAGAATGGTCCAGGACGGACCGAAACGTGGTCGTCCCTTCACCATCTAGTGTGTGGTCTGGTCAACTTACTTTAGCCACGTTATTGTGACTCATCGCCTGCAAATAACTTCAGGTTGTTTAAATCTTCCCATTTTTTACGTAAAATGATAACTTTCTCCCTTTCCTTATTTTGGGTTCACAGTTTTTAAGGATTATAAGGACTCATTAGTTACAGAAACCTGAGGACAGCATCAGAGATTATAAAGAGGAAATAATACGAAGGAGGCCTGGGGAAGGGGGGGAGACCTGGCCTAGACAAGCGTTTAAGAAATAAGTTTACAGTCTCCGTGGTGTAGTGGTAAGACACTCGCCTGGCGTTCCGCGAGCGCTATGTCATGGGTTCGTATCCTGGCCGGGGAGGATTTACTGGGCGCAATTCCTTAACTGTAGCCTCTGTTTAACGCAACAGTAAAATGTGTACTTGAATGAAAAAAACGATTCTTCGCGGCAGGGGATCGTATTCCAGGGACCTGCCCGAAACGCTACGCGTACTAGTGGCTGTACAAGAATGTAACAACTCTTGTATATATCTAAAAAAAAAAAAAAAAATGTTTAAGAAAGACAAGAGCTGTATGTGTGCTTGAGACACGAGACGGTAAACCCCAGCCATAATTCAACACTGATTCCGACTTCCGAGTTTACATTTGAGCTTTACCGGTGGGAGTGAAAGTCATAGTTATAAGTTATAAAGCCAAGTTAATTAGGCACGGCAGTTAAGCTTGCAGTGAAATTGAAATTGAAATAAGTTTATTGAGGTAAAATACACACAAAGGGATGAGGTAGCTCAAGCTATTCTCGCCCCGTTCAGTACATCGTGTTAATACATACATAGACACACATCACAAGCAATAAACATATCACCGAACATTCTGAGAGATAAACATATACATTTCCTCTGGGGCTTGCAGTAGAACCTGGTGGCTGGTAGTGACGCCGCGGGTGTCCTCACTAAGTTAGGTTAGGTGAGGTTAACCTACATTCAGCAAGTCGGTTAGGGTGGTAAGGTTGGATTAGTTTGGGTTGTATTAAGGTTACTTTTTGTTAAGTTAAGCCGAGTTGGTTTTCTAAATTAGGTTGAATTGCTTTGCTAAATTAGGTTAGATTGATTTGGTTAGATAAGGTTCAGGTAGGATTTGGTTAGACTTTCTGGTGTCCAAATGCCGCAGCGCTCCAACAACCGGTATCGGACATTCTACATCTATAAGAATATCTGTTTGCCTGTCTGTCTGTCTCTCCAAAGTTGGAAGTCCGCCTCTTGGGGAACAACACTTTGTTAAATGAGGAAGAGTGGCGACCCAAGTGACAGTGGATGTGAGGCCAGGGGGGGGGGGGTGAGGCAGGGTTGAGGCCGGGGATGAGTCAAGAGTGAGTAAGTGTGTGGAAGGATGTGAGTCTCGGGGTGAGGCAGGAGTAAGGATGTGAGTCTCGGAGTGAGAAAGGATGTGTGTATATAGTGCCAACTGAAATAATTTAATTCCGCCAGAGTTGAGGATTTTTTAAACCAATTTCGATATTTTTAAATTTATTAAATATATCCGTTATTGACATACGTCGCAACAACTTAAAACCTATATATTAAATTATATTAATATTAATTTAACAATATTTAGTTAAAGTTTAAACTATAAATAGGACTTTCACAATATAAAAATTGCTCCTGGATTCTGCACCTTATTACCATTAGTATAATTTGTATAACATTAGTTATACTGCTGCTGTCATACTCATGCCGAAGCCAGCGCCCAAACACTCCAATATCACGCACAGGATTTAAACAATTCATCTACTCATCAAATCCAGACCTTGTTTTCATAATCAAACTATGACTTAACTCTCAAACGTAATCCCATTTCCCCAAACTTTCATATGTAGACACATAACGGAACTGCATCACTCAACCCTCACGGATATACATATTGGACAAACATAAATTAACTTTGTATCCACGCAGGAGGCCTGGTCGACGACCGGGCCGCGGGGACACTAAGCCCCGGAAACACCTCAAGGTACGCCCTTATTCCAGAGACAATTGAACATTACCTCCGTCAGTGCCGGAATTAATTTCACAAGTGATTAGCATGCTTAATATGGGGGAGATCTCTCATTATATATAACATATCAATAGCTAAAGCACTGTCTAAATGCTGTAACAGCAGTGTGGAAGAAAATGTCCGTGGAGTCACAATCCACCACTCCATGAAAGTTGGACAGCAGGTAGGGACAGCAGTCAAAAAACCTAACCAAACACTGTTGACCAGACCATACACTAGAAGGTGAAGGGACGACGACGTTTCGCTCCGTCCAGGACCATTCTCAAGTCGATTGTGAATTGACTTGAGAATGGTCCAGGACGGACCGAAACGTCGTCGTCCCTTCACTTTCCAGTGTTTATTGGTCAACATACCATAAAGCAGCAGCCAGGGGCCCGGATACCCCTGCGTAGTACCTGTTGAAAGCCACACAAAGTCTGTACACTCACAATTGTGTTCCACAGACACATAAAGGCATCACAACCACCAAAAAGGAACCACAAAGAGACACTATTGTTCAACAGCCAGACAGGAATCACAGACACTTCTGTTCCACAGCCACACAACAAATTGTCTAACAGACACACTAATTTGCCACAGCCACCCAGCTGTTCCAGGTAGTCGTCTACACCACAGCCATGATCTGCTCGAGGGGCTTGCGGGTGAGGTTGGGGATGGTGGCGTCTGAGGCCGGGTAGCCGACAGGCAGGAGCAGCAGCAGCTTCTCGTTGGGCGGCCGCTGCAGGAGGGCCCTCAGGGCCGGCCCACAGTTGAGGGGTGTCGAGGTCAGGGTCGCCAGCCCCGCCGTCTGTTGACAGAGGAAGTGATTACCTTTGAGACAAGTCCACGTAACCAAGAAGTGATCACGTGCAAGCAGCCGCCTACCGCGACCTGTGCACGTAGTTATACAGACCTGGACGCACGTGTTGCGGACATGGGAGAGGAAATACAATACCCAAAACATTGCTAGTGGAATAATTAATAATATTGTTATGGCTGAAAGGTTTCAGACATGTGAAGAGTGGTGTGCTACCGCAGCTAGACATTGTGAAGCCAGAGTCCAGCAACACAACAGCCTGAGGCACGTCTACTTACGTGGATAGCAGAGAGAAGGATGCCACCGGCAATGGCTGTGGAGATCTCGTGGTAGTAGTGATTCCTCTTGCGTCCGTCTGGCAGGATACCGTACGCCTGCTTGAACACCAGGATGAGCCAGGGAGCAGTAGTGAGGTATTCCTTCACCCAGCCCGTCCGTAAGCCCTTCAGGTCCTTCAGCCACTGATTACCTGTGAAGGCACCCACCACAAGACTCGTCATGACATATTATGGCGTCTCCAGGCGCAAGACAACCCTTTGCGCTCCTCTTAATGTTCCAATGTCGGAAAGCCGCTAAAATATTCTACTACTATACAATATCAATTTAAGCAAGAGAGTGAGAGAACAAGATAGAACAAGAGCCACTAACCCATTCTCTTGGTGTAGTTGATCTCCTCCTCAGCCTCGACGATGGTCCTCAACTGTTCCTTCACATCAGGGTCACACACCGCCACGAACGTCCAGGGTTCCGTGTGCGCCCCGGAGGGTGCAGTACCTGCAGGCGGGTCCTGTTACAACCTTCACACACTATCAACGTTCACACACTATCAAGGTTCACACACACACACACACACACACACACACACACACACACACACACACACACACACACTATCAACGTTCACACACTACCAAGCCTCACACACTACCAAGCCTCACACACTACCAAGCCTCACACACTACCAAGCCTCACACACTACCAAGCCTCACACACTACCAAGCCTCACACACTACCAAGCCTCACACACTACCAAGCCTCACACACTACCAAGCCTCACACACTACCAAGCCTCACACACTACCAAGCCTCACACACTACCAAGCCTCACACACTACCAAGCCTCACACACTACCAAGCCTCACACACTACCAAGCCTCACACACTACCAAGCCTCACACACTACCAAGCCTCACACACTACCAAGCCTCACACACTACCAAGCCTCACACACTACCAAGCCTCACACACTACCAAGCCTCACACACTACCAAGCCTCACACACTACCAAGCCTCACACACTACCAAGCCTCACACACTACCAAGCCTCACACACTACCAAGCCTCACACACTACCAAGCCTCACACACTACCAAGCCTCACACACTACCAAGCCTCACACACTACCAAGCCTCACACACTACCAAGCCTCACACACTACCAAGCCTCACACACTACCAAGCCTCACACACTACCAAGCCTCACACACTACCAAGCCTCACACACTACCAAGCCTCACACACTACCAAGCCTCACACACTACCAAGGTTCACACACTACCAAGCCTCACACACTACCAAGCCTCACACACTACCAAGCCTCACACACTACCAAGCCTCACACACTACCAAGCCTCACACACTACCAAGCCTCACACACTACCAAGCCTCACACACTACCAAGCCTCACACACTACCAAGCCTCACACACTACCAAGCCTCACACACTACCAAGCCTCACACACTACCAAGCCTCACACACTACCAAGCCTCACACACTACCAAGCCTCACACACTACCAAGGTTCACACACTACCAAGCCTCACACACTACCAAGCCTCACACACTACCAAGCCTCACACACTACCAAGGTTCACACACTACCAAGGTTCACACACTACCAAGATTCACACACTACCAAGCCTCACACACTACCAAGCCTCACACACTACCAAGCCTCACACACTACCAAGCCTCACACACTACCAAGGTTCACACACTACCAAGCCTCACACACTACCAAGCCTCACACACTACCAAGCCTCACACACTACCAAGCGTCACACACTACCAAGCCTCACACACTACCAAGCCTCACACACTACCAAGCCTCACACACTACCAAGGTTCACACACTACCAAGCCTCACACACTACCAAGCCTCACACACTACCAAGGTTCACACACTACCAAGCCTCACACACTACCAAGCCTCACACACTACCAAGCCTCACACACTACCAAGGTTCACACACTACCAAGCCTCACACACTACCAAGCCTCACACACTACCAAGCCTCACACACTACCAAGGTTCACACACTACCAAGCCTCACACACTACCAAGCCTCACACACTACCAAGGTTCACACACTACCAAGCCTCACACACTACCAAGCCTCACACTACCAGCCTCACACACTACCAAGGTTCACACACTACCAAGCCTCACACACTACCAAGCCTCACACACTACCAAGGTTCACACACTACCAAGCCTCACACACTACCAAGCCTCACACACTACCAAGCCTCACACACTACCAAGGTTCACACACACTACCAAGCCTCACACACTAAGCCTCACACACTACCAAGCCTCACACACTACCAAGGTTCACACACTACCAAGCCTCACACACTACCAAGCCTCACACACTACCAAGGTTCACACACTACCAAGCCTCACACACTACCAAGCCTCACACACTACCAAGCCTCACACACTACCAAGGTTCACACACTACCAAGCCTCACACACTACCAAGCCTCACACACTACCAAGCCTCACACACTACCAAGCCTCACACACTACCAAGCCTCACACACTACCAAGCCTCACACACTACCAAGCCTCACACACTACCAAGCCTCACACACTACCAAGCCTCACACACTACCAAGCCTCACACACTACCAAGCCTCACACACTACCAAGCCTCACACACTACCAAGCCTCACACACTACCAAGCCTCACACACTACCAAGCCTCACACACTACCAAGCTTCACACACTACCAAGCCTCACACACTACCAAGCCTCACACACTACCAAGCCTCACACACTACCAAGCCTCACACACTACCAAGCCTCACACACTACCAAGCCTCACACACTACCAAGCTTCACACACTACCAAGCCTCACACACTACCAAGCCTCACACACTACCAAGCCTCACACACTACCAAGCCTCACACACTACCAAGCCTCACACACTACCAAGCCTCACACACTACCAAGCCTCACACACTACCAAGCCTCACACACTACCAAGCCTCACACACTACCAAGCCTCACACACTACCAAGCCTCACACACTACCAAGCCTCACACACGTCATATTTCACCCCAGTATATCCACGGTTTCGCTCTCTCGCTGTCTCGTCTTATTTGATATTTTAAAACATTATTTTTGTGTGTGTAAACTCTGGTCCCAAATATCTTTGATGTGAGTGGTTAAATAACATTCAGAACCTCTCAGAAGGAAAACACGAGGGAAGGGATGTACTATGTGGGAATGAGTATACAATGAAGGAAGACGTGTACTGAGGGAAGGGGTGTACTATGAAGGAAGAAGTGTACTGGAAGGGGTGTACTATGAAGGAAGAAGTATACTGGAAGGGGTGTACTATGAAGGAAGAAGTGTACTGGAAGGGGTGTACTATGAAGGAAGAAGTGTACTGGAAGAGGTGTACTATTAAGGAAGAAGTGTACAATCAAGGAAAGAGTGTACCCCCAGCCAGTAATATCCTCACCCTGAGTGATGACGCTAGGGTGTGGCAGACATGTTAGCGTTACATAAGAGACACGACTATGGGTTAATTACCTGCCGCCCTGATCACATTCTGGATGACCTCGCGGGGCACGGGGTCAGAGCTGAAGTTGCGGACGGTGCGTCGCTGGTTCATCACCTCGTAGAAATCCTTCGACTTCCTCATGCTCTCCTCCGCCGACACGCTACACCGGCCGGAACACAATAGGAACATGTATGAGTGACGGGGAGTCGAGGGACAACCTGCTGAAGGGGCGAACACCTATTGTGTAGTTGAGGAGAATATTTAGGTGAGAGGAGGGTGTATTTGTAGGCTGAGCTACGACATTAACTGTCGTAACTCACCCCACCAGTGATGGGGGGGGGGGGGGTGTGGTCCGGGGGGTGACGGGGGGGTCAGGAGACAGAATACGTGGGTGGGGGGAGAGGGGGAGGGTATTGGTGTTATCTGTAAGACATTCTTATATTCGTAAATTCTATAATTTAATTTTCTGGGTGTTTTACCTGTAATTATATATATTAATATTTTTGTAGGAAACTGTTTAATATAGGAGTAAATATTTTGTGAAGGACTGCGGCATCGAACTAGTGTCCCGGTTGACCCCAGACACGCACCATCCTCCCCTATAATTATGCAATTTACAGTCCCACCGTTTACTTCAGAGCCAGAAAGAGGTGACCCACTGCTTTTTCCTAGACCCACTAAGGAAAGATGGCGACACACGCCTGTACAAGGTCTAAATAGGACACGTAACCTATAATAAAGCAGCTCGTCCTCCTAAGGTTTCCCAACGTCAAGAAAACGGTCCATTTAAAATGTCCTAACCTACCAGAGGACCCAAAACAGAAAACGGGACAGTACGTCACTTTCGCCAGACGCTTCCATTTTCCAGTACGACAATTTTTGGCCTTTTGTAACGCATACAAGCGGAAGGCGACGTTCTCTGTTCAACCTGTCTTAAAAATAACGTCACTTTTGGCCGTTTACCCGTATGGCCGAAAGTGGACGTAATTTGAAAATGAAAAAAATGAAAATAAATTTGGGATTTTTTTTCAACAACAGTAAGTTAAGGGTCCTCTGATAGGTTAGGTGGGCAGGAAATTCTCATAAAGTTTCAAAACGTTATGAAAAACAAAATTGAAAGTTCCTCTTCTAAACTTGCCGAGGAGGGCCGGACGACTCAAACAGAAAACGGGACAGTACGTCACTTTTGTGAGTCAATTTCATTTTAATTTACGTCCAAATTTGGCCATAGCGCGCATACCAGCCAAAAGTGACGTTATTTTTAAGAGGACGGGTTGCTCTGTAGGAGGACAGGTTGTATATAGGACCTCGTTCACTTTTACTTTGGTACACCATATTTGCCAGTGGACAGAACGCACGGTTTTGGTCCACCACAAACCAAGTAGATTGTACAAAATCACACACTTGACTCCTACAAAGCCACTTTAAAATCCCGTTCAACAAATGTATAATGAACCATACTAAAAATCAAAGGACAAAACTTATAAATTATACACCAACTAATAGGGTAATTGGCCCGGTTGTTCAGAGCATTTGTGAACACTTAGAGACGTGCAGGCGCAGCACCTCAAGACCTTCAGGGACGATGACGTATAATTACAGACATTTCTATGTCATAGTCGACTGTGGAGGATTAGGAAGTATTCTGAGGCATGTGGATTCAAGAGGGAGCTGGTTAATCTCCAATCTCACAATCAACTTGAGAATGGTCCAGGACGGACCGAAACGTCGTCGTCCCTTCACCTTCTAGTGTATGGTCTGGTCAACATACTTTAGCCACGTTATTGTGACTCCTCGCCTGCAAGGGGGAGCTGGTGTTTACATCGCTGTTTTGGTACGGTTGGTGGAAGGTATATATACTCATCACACCCCGGTATATATATACTCATCACACCCCGGTATATATATACTCATCACACCCCGGTATATATATACTCATCACACGCTGTTAGGAAGGCACCCTCATATATACTGTCAAGCAGTATCCTCCCCGGGATAGCAGCCACATAGTATAAGGACTGACGATTTAAGTGCTCGCTCAGCAGACAGTATATCCTTTCACGACAAAATATTACATTCACTCCAAAAAATCTACCACTTACGGGCTATTCATGCCCGTGCCACCACCTCTTGACTGGCTTAATCTTCATCCATCAAATCAATCTCTTAGGAAGGCAAAGAGTCGCTGGACGTAATCACCTTTAGGAACCGGAGGAACAACTTTCCAACGAAGAGGCTTTACCTGACTTATAAAGCCCTTTCTTAGCCTATTAATGTTGATTCAAAAAACACAAAGGTCTGTAAAGAGGAATCTTTAAGAGGTTCCTGAAAGTAGATACCACCTTCCCCATAGTCTTTGCTAAACTAGTTGATCAAAAAATAATTGCTTGATCCTAGAGTCAGTTGCTTGAAAAAAAACCTACTTAGCCTCGGTTCGAAGACTGGATGTGAAAGTAGGAAGATTTAGCTAAACCGGTTACAGGCAAACGAAACATTTTGTATTTTTTTTTCTCGTCTCATGAAGATTGTGGTCCTGACTGAATATTTATGTACTCTAAGAAAGAGCTCAAGTTAACCAGCGGTGGATCGTAGTGCTACCAGTACGGGTGATGGGGTACTCACCGGGTGATGGGGTACTCACCGGGTGATGGGATACTCACCGGGTGATGGGGTACTCACCGGGTGATGGGGTACTCACCGGGTGATGGGGTACTCACCGGGTGATGGGGTACTCACCGGGTGATGGGATACTCACCGGGTGATGGGGTACTCACCGGGTGATGGGGTACTCACCGGGTGATGGGGTACTCACCGGGTGATGGGGTACTCACCGGGTGAAATTGTAGGGGAGGTGTTTGAGGTGTTCGGGCCACAGAGGCTCCACCAGGTTGGGTGTGACTTGGTCATCGTCTTCGTCACCGACACCGCCAGACTCTGTCAAGGTGGGAAGCCAGTCAGTCACATGATGTGATCTATGATCGAACACACACACACACACACACAAACACATAGAGCCCAATAGGCTCAGGAACCTGTACACCTATTGATTGATGGTTTAGAGGCGGGACCATAGAGCCAGAGCTCAACCCCTGCAAGCACAATTAGGTAAGTACAATTAGGTAAGTACACACAGGCGAGTGTGTGTGTGTGTGTGTGGAAGGGGGGGGGCCTCGCGGCTGAGTGGACAACGTTCTAGGGTCGTAGTCCCAAGGGCCCGGGTTCGATCCCCGACAAAGGCAGAAACAAATGGAGAGAGTTTCTTTCACCCTGATACCCATGTTCACCTAGCAATAAATAGGTACATGGGAGTTAGACAGCTGCTATGGGCTGCTTCCTGAGAATGTGTGTAAGACAAATATATGTAGTAGACACAATAGAGGAAAAATCAATTGGTTATAAAGGCGGAGTCCAAGAGCTAATAGCTCGATTCCGCAGATGCAAATAGTAGAAACATATAGTAAATACACACACAAAACAATGAAATCAACCCCGGCCTCCTGATAAGATTGTACGTTTCGTAACTACATTACGTTGACGATCGTACAAATATCGACGTGATGGCCAAATAGAAAGTACATTGACCAGACCACACACTAGAATGTGAAGGGACGACGACGTTTCGGTCCGTCCTGGACCATTCTCACAATCGACTTGAAAATGGTCCAGGAGTGACCGAAACGTCATCGTCCCTTCACATTCTAGTGTGTGGTCTGGTCAACATACTTTAGCCCCGTTATTGTGACTCATCGCCTGCAAATAGAAAGTACAGTTTGGTACTGTTCATCTTATAGTCTGGAGAAAAATAAAGCTAAAGAAAACCAACTTAAATATTCCTAGGCCTGGTATAGCACATGTATGTCTTACATTAAGCTTCAAATGGCGTGAACAAATCCACAAGGGCCGTGACGAGGATTCGAACTTGCGTCCGGGAGCATCCCAGACAACTGCCTTAATCGACTGAGCTACGACAGGGTTAAATTGCCTTCAAATGGCGTGCTTTAAGCTTTGGATGGTTAGGTTAAGTCTCATTAACAATATTAACAGAAAAAAAGTTTGTTAAAAAATCAGTACTACAAAAGGTCAAAATCAAAATCAAAGACAAATATTTGATTTGATTTGACAAATATTTAGAAATTGTTCAAAATCAATACTACTATCTACTGTTCCATCGCGTCCATATTGGTACGGTGGACCACATCGTTACTGTAAGTACCTTTTCATTTTAGGAGGATGGCTGGTGAAATAATTTGCTACTATTTAGTGAAGAACTAAACAAGACACGTATACTGGTGTACCCAGTATCATCACCCAGGGTTCAGTCGCTTTGTCCTCTTGTGAAGACGACCTATATTATCTTAGTGTGTGTGTGTGTGTGTGTGTGTGTGTGTGTGTGTGTGTGTGTGTGTGTGTGTGTGTGTGTGTGTGTGTGTGTGTGTGTGTGTGTGTGTGTGTGTGTGTGTGTGTGTGTGTGTGTGTGTGTGTGTGTGTGTGTGTGTGTGTGTGTGTGGTGTGTGTGTGTGTGTGTGTGTATGTGTGTGTGTATGGTGTGTATGTATGTATGGTGTGTGTATGTGTGGTGTGCGTTCGTGTGTGTGTGTCAAAGTTCAACAGTTCTAGGGCGTGTACATTTCCATTAGTGTCAAACTATCCAGTAAGAGAATAAGGTGTGATGACTCTCCGCGTATACAGCAACATCACCCAACACAAAATATACGAAGAATGATTATTCTTCCTAAGAACTGGGTTGTCATCTGAAGGTCAGCATCACTTGACCGTCAACGACTGACTCTTCCTGCTTGTATCCAGTATGTTAAACAACACGGCATATAATCTCCATTATGGTGCCCCCAACACCGCAGAAAGTAGTACGCTTCTGTTTACACAGGAGACGTTTAGAACCGGATTGCCTTCAGCCAATCAGCATCAGCTGAATACTTGTCACCAGCGTCGCTCACTTGTTTACCCTATACGCTCCTTTCTGCGTCTCTAACCACTAACATAAATCTATCCTAACTTAATGAAAACCAGCCTAAACTAGCCTAACCTGATCTGATAAATTCCCAGACTTGGAACACTACATTGCACAACGACTTGTTGTACCCCGGCCAGTTGTAACCGGTTGACTGTGCAATCCTGTTCTGGCCTGAATGCTGTGTCGTCATGGTGACGTCACACACCTCGTCCTCCCCCCCCCCCCCCGACTATATAAACACAATAATTTAACTTATTTTCATTAGGTTCGGCCACGGTAGGTTAGGACAGGATTAGATTGATTACGTTGGGTTAGGTTTGTATAAAGGGTAGCGATGAAATAAGTAGGGTTCGTACACACTTTTCTCAGTCCTTCCTACTTATAGTGTCAAGGACGGAGCAGCCTAACCGCTCAAGTGGGACTAAACTTTTAAGGCTATGAAATGTGCGGTCGGTTAAACGAACCGTAAAGTAAACAGCGATGTGATATTTGTCCCAGGAGACGAAGTGGGTCAATAATATAATTAATATTATATTATTGTAATATCAGGGGATTGTGTCTTATCAATTAGAAAAGCAACGTCGGACGTCAGGATATTGACAATTATCTACACGTCTTAATTCTACTAAGATTCAGAGGAGTTTACTCTATTAATGTTTTCGTTAATAAGACAATAAGAACAAAACGAGGGCTACATTAGTCACAGTACACCAGCCAGCCTAGTGAGGAAGGTCTCACAGTACACCAGCCAGCCTCGTGAGGAAGGTCTCACAGTACACCAGCCAGCCTCGTGAGGAAGGTCTCACAGTACACCAGCCAGCCTCGTGAGGAAGGTCTCACAGTACACCAGCCAGCCTATAGTGAGGAAGGTCTCACAGTACACCAGCCAGCCTAGTGAAGAAGGTCTCACAGTACACCAGCCAGCCTAGTGAGGAAGGTCTCACAGTACACCAGCCAGCCTATAGTGAGGAAGGTCACACAGTACACCAGCCAGCCTAGTGAAGAAGGTCTCACAGTACACCAGCCAGCCTCGTGAGGAAGGTCTCACAGTACACCAGCCAGCCTATAGTGAGGAAGGTCTCACAGTACACCAGCCTATAGTGAGGAAGGTCACAGTACACCAGCCAGCCTATAGTGAGGAAGGTCTCACAGTACACCAGCCTATAGTGAGGAAGGTCACAGTACACCAGCCAGCCTATAGTGAGGAGGGTCACAGTACAGCCAGCCTATAGTGAGGAAGGTCACAGTACACCAGCCAGCCTATAGTGAGGAAGGTCACAGTACAGCCAGCCTATAGTGAGGAAGGTCACAGTACACCAGCCAGCCTAGTGAGGAAGGTCTCACAGTACACCAGCCAGCCTATAGTGAGGAAGGTCTCACAGTACACCAGCCGGCCTATAGTGAGGAAGGTCACAGTACACCAGCCAGCCTATAGTGAGGAAGGTCACAGTACACCAGCCAGCCTAGTGAGGAAGGTCTCACAGTACACCAGCCAGCCTATAGTGAGGAAGGTCTCACAGTACACCAGCCGGCCTATAGTGAGGAAGGTCACAGTACACCAGCCAGCCTATAGTGAGGAAGGTCACAGTACAGCCAGCCTATAGTGAGGAAGGTCACAGTACACCAGCCAGCCTAGTGAGGAAGGTCTCACAGTACACCAGCCAGCCTATAGTGAGGAAGGTCTCACAGTACACCAGCCGGCCTATAGTGAGGAAGGTCACAGTACACCAGCCAGCCTATAGTGAGGAAGGTCACAGTACACCAGCCAGCCTAGTGAGGAAGGTCTCACAGTACACCAGCCAGCCTATAGTGAGGAAGGTCTCACAGTACACCAGCCGGCCTATAGTGAGGAAGGTCACAGTACACCAGCCAGCCTATAGTGAGGAAGGTCACAGTACAGCCAGCCTATAGTGAGGAAGGTCACAGTACACCAGCCAGCCTAGTGAGGAAGGTCTCACAGTACACCAGCCAGCCTATAGTGAGGAAGGTCTCACAGTACACCAGCCGGCCTATAGTGAGGAAGGTCACAGTACAGCCAGCCTATAGTGAGGAAGGTCACACAGTACACCAGCCAGCCTATAGTGAGGAAGGTCACAGTACACCAGCCAGCCTAGTGAGGAAGGTCTCACAGTACACCAGCCGGCCTATAGTGAGGAAGGTCTCACAGTACACCAGCCAGCCTATAGTGAGGAAGGTCTCACAGTACACCAGCCAGCCTATAGTGAGGAAGGTCACACAGTACACCAGCCAGCCTATAGTGAGGAAGGTCACACAGTACACCAGCCAGCCTATAGTGAGGAAGGTCACACAGTACACCAGCCAGCCTATAGTGAGGAAGGTCTCACAGTACACCAGCCAGCCTATAGTGAGGAAGGTCACAGTACACCAGCCGGCCTATAGTGAGGAAGGTCTCACAGTACACCAGCCAGCCTATAGTGAGGAAGGTCACAGTACAGCCAGCCTAGTGAGGAAGGTCTCACAGTACACCAGCCAGCCTATAGTGAGGAAGGTCTCAGTACACCAGCCAGCCTATAGTGAGGAAGGTCACACAGTACACCAGCCAGCCTAGTGAGGAAGGTCACAGTACACCAGCCAGCCTATAGTGAGGAAGGTCACACAGTACACCAGCCAGCCTATAGTGAGGAAGGTCACAGTACAGCCAGCCTATAGTGAGGAAGGTCACAGTACAGCCAGCCTATAGTGAGGAAGGTCACACAGTACACCAGCCAGCCTATAGTGAGGAAGGTCACAGTACACCAGCCAGCCTAGTGAGGAAGGTCTCACAGTACACCAGCCAGCCTATAGTGAGGAAGGTCACAGTACACCAGCCAGCCTATAGTGAGGAAGGTCTCACAGTACACCAGCCAGCCTATAGTGAGGAAGGTCTCACAGTACACCAGCCTAACCTGTCCTGGATAAACAGTAGTTGTCGAAAACATTTAAAATATGCATTAAAATGGCCGCCTCGCGTCGTGGACTGTTAAAAGCATCCGCAAGGAAATATTCTCCTTAAGCGAGTCTTAACATTATACAAAAATCATAACAACCTGAGATCAGAGCAGAAAGTTTATACCTAGGCTATTAATTTCAGTTACTGTATTCAGAATTCCAATAGTACAAAACTTACTTTTTTAGCTATGGTCCACATTTTGTACATTGCATCTATAGTACCAACATATTCAATCAGAATAATACTAATGATTCTTATTAAAAATACATTGAAACATGATAAAGAGTATTCGTAGGTACACAATGCAATTTATATAAAGCCACTAGTACGCAGAGTGTTTCGGGCATACATATATATATAACTTGTGGGTAGGAAACTTTACAGGGGAAGCTTTATACAATGCTGCGAGAATATATTACTTACCTATAACGTTGCGTTTGCCCTTCTTGGTGTGGTCGCTGGAGGAGTCGTGGTCGGCGTTGAAGTGTCCGTTGGTGGAGGCCTGGGAGGAGCGGCGGACGGCCAGACGTATGAGGACCATCACCAGACACGCCACCGTCACCTCCAGCCAGTTGGCAGCCAGGAAGGGCGCCATGTACCGCGTCGCCAGCCCCATTGTCTCCTGACGATAAACATTGTTGCACATTGTACTACCTGCTCATCCTTCTCGTATCACCTTCTACAGGAAGGATGAGGAGGTGATACCAGACATAATTGACTGGAATTGCAAACCTTGCAGTGAAAACGCAAGGATTTGGTCTGTCATTTATTATAACAATCCTCCTGCATTATCCCGCATTATGAGAAATAACACATGTGCCTGACGAGGAGTCACAATAACGTGGCTGAAATATGCTGAACAAACCACACACTAAAAAGTGAGGGGACGACGACGTTTCGGTCCGTCCTGGACCATTCTCACAATCGACTTGAGAATGGTCCAGGACGGCCTGAAACGTCGTCGTCCCTTCACTTTCTAGTGTGTGGTCTGGTCAACAACTCTGCCTCCTCTAACAAACTGAGGTGTACTAATGTAGTGTACTAATACAAATATAGCTACGGGGACTTTGCGCTCCGAAATATATGCAACATTGGACATACCCCGAATACATCGAGTAGACGTCTTACTTCCGTCTTCATTTGCCAGACGGAGGTATTAAAGTAACATCAATGCTTAATACCACAACACCATCAGAATCGCCAAGACAGTGAAAGATACGACAGTAATTACACTCACTGACGATCGTAAGAGGCTTCGTATACTTAAAGCTGTGTTCATTCGGGAGCTGACACCAGTAATCATCATCCAGATAAATTGGACTTCGAACATACAGCTGTTTGATAGTCCTCCATTGATCCAGAGGGAAGATGTAAGACCTGGCGGACAGCTAGAAGCTGGAGTCAGGCAACAATCACCTCACCCCCACTCTTCGTCCTTGTTGTTTAAGATTCAGCTACTGGGAACAAAAAAGTTCCAAGTAGCACGGACTACGGTGAACCCGTAGTGGACTTACCTGGCACAGTAGCAGGCTGTAAGTTGGTATCCACACGTAGGTCTAGATTGTTTCTTGTAAGCAGTCTTTACGGACTATTCATGGCCGTACCACCTCTTGGATTGCTTAATCTTCATCAATCAATCAATCTTGTAAGCGGAGCAGTTACAGCCCCGCTCCTGTGCCAGATAAGTCCACCACAGGCTCACCATAGCCCGTGCTACCTGGAACTTTTTGTTCTGAGTAGCAGAATCTAAAACAACAACCTTGTTAACTCAGTATACCTGTATCAGTGCTACAGTGACTCCTGCAGATGTCACATTGCTGACGAAACGTCGAACAATAAAAAGTGAAATATGTTTAGTGTTATTGCGAAGAATGGAAAATATCCAAAAGAAAATTAATGTCACAATTCTGTTATGTTTAATATATATATATATATATATATATATATATATATATATAAGATAGATATAGCCTCGGCTACCAATTTCTTTTGTACGGTCACGGTTGGGCAAGTGGTTAAAGTACCAGGTACGCCAATTGCATAGTGCTTCTGGCTGTCTGGGTTCGAGTCTCTTCTGGGGTGTGGAGTTTTGAGTTGCATATTGACTTGGGGACCATTCAAGCTTATTCGCATATATGCATATATAATATATATATATATATATATATATATATATATATATATATATATATATATATATATATATATATATATATATATAATATTTAAAAATCCAATGATTGTCTTTTACAAATTCATGATTGTATTTTTCAGCCAAAAATACGGTTCTGATGTTACTAGTGCGTATACACACTCGACGAGTCAAATGTAAAATTATTATATACATTTACTGACCATCAGCATTGAATTTTATCCAAGTTTCATTTGGTTAGTGGTCTCAGAGATCGAGTGTTTACCTGCGAGTGAGTGGTAATGCGCGAGCAGTGGCGTGAGGGAGCTACGAGCGGAGGTCCTTACACCGCGACTGCTGGCGTGTGACTGTTCTCCCGATCAAAGGGTCCTTTCACATCGCCTCGTGGCCTCGACCTGCCCTCTGGGGCGCCTCCTTTCACTGTGTTTGTCGCCCTTCGTCTGATAACAGCAGCAGCTTCCCCTTAACCTTGTTGCTGCATTGTGCGTCTTGTATCTTATTATTGGTGTTTTCAAACTTATTGGTAACATTATTAGGTTTTCATTTTTTTCATTGTTTTTTTTCCTCTCCCAGGTGTACGGACGATATCTTGATATTGCCTCTTTATTCTAGAGTTCCAGCTGGGAATACGGGTGTGTGTGTGTGTGTGTGTGTGTGTGTGTGTGTGTGTGTGTGTGTGTGTGTGTGTGTGTGTGTGTGTGTGTGTGTGTGTGTGTGTGTGTGTGTGTGTGTGTGTGTGTGTGTGTGTGTGTGTGTGTATGTGTGTGTGTGTGTATTTGTGTGTGTGTGTGTGTTCATTAGCCGAGGCCTCCAACTGGGAACACTTGTGTGTTCAAAGGCATACTATTGAGCTTGCAATGGGCAGCTCTTTTTGGGTACGAACCTAGTGTTCATGAACGGTGACTCAGCATCTCACACTTGCACAATACAACACCACGTGCTGAGCGCTTCTTGCTCTTCAAGATTTATATAACAAAAAAATAATATTTTACTCAAAATAATTTTCAGCCTTTTTTTTATTTATCATTTTTCGCTGCATTTTGGATCTCTTAAGAGCGTGTTAAGACTCTGACTTCACATCTATCACCTTGATATATTAGAATTATTCCACGTAGATAATTCGTGGGAGAAGATAATTATAATTATAATTATATATAATTATAAATTATAATTCGTGATAATTTTTTGAGAAGCCTCGCTTCTCAAAATTATTTGTTTAGTTTCTCAGGATGTGTTTCTCAGGATGTGTTTCTCAGGATGTGTTTCTCAGGATGTGTTTCTCAGGATGTGTTTCTCAGGATGTGTTTCTCAGGATGTGTTTCTCAGGATGTGTTTCTCAGGATGTGTTTCGCAGGATGTGTTTCTCAGGATGTGTTTCGCAGGATGTGTTTCTCAGGATGTGTTTCTCAGGATGTGTTTCGCAGGATGTGTTTCTCAGGATGTGTTTCTCAGGATGTGTTTCTCAGGATGTGTTTCTCAGGATGTGTTTCTCAGGATGTGTTTCTCAGGATGTGTTTCGCAGGATGTGTTTCTCAGGATGTGTTTCTCAGGATGTTTTCTCAGGATGTGTTTCCCAGGATGTGTTTCGCAGGATGTGTTTCTCAGGATGTGTTTCTCAGGATGTGTTTCTCAGGATGTGTTTCTCAGGATGTGTTTCTCAGGATGTGTTTTTCAGGATGTTTCTCAGGATGTGTTTCTCAGGATGTTTCTCAGGATGTGTTTCTCAGGATGTTTCTCAGGATGTGTTTCTCAGGATGTGTTTCTCAGGATGTGTTTCTCAGGATGTGTTTCTCAGGATGTGTTTCTCAGGATGTGTTTGCGTGTATCATCACAATAACGGCTGTCAACCATCGATTACCACCAGCCCATGAGATGACGATGTATAATAATATGTACCGTCTCACGGATGTTATTTTGTTATAGAGAAGATAAACGCTAACGTCTTGAGAACGTTTAAAGTGAAACAAGTGTTGCTGGTAATATGTGACAACTGGGAAAGTTTACCCGTGAGTGGGAGGCCACGTGGGAGCACCACCACGTACCAGTTAAAAACACGTGCTGGAGGAGGAAAACGTACATGAGCTCTCGGCTTATTTACAACGTACGAACCCAAGCAACCTACTTAACCTACTGATGCACACACAATGTAGATATTTGTGAGCCACTACTTTTCATAATTGTAATGTGTACGTTGGGGTCCGTAGCGTACAGAATGAGACGGAAAAGATACGAGGACGGGTTGGACCGACTAGTGCTGTCTATTGCAATAGTAGGCCTATTGTCCCCTTGTGACGCTGCACCTCACCCCGCGTTATATATTCGGTTGCGCTAAAATTGTCACCTCACGGGAGACATCTCCCGTCACGCAGGGTGCAGTCGCACCTCCACAGATCTCCAGTATCAGCTCTTGATACTGGTAATGGCTCAAAAGGGCCACCACTTACGGGCTATTCATGCCCGTGTCACCTCTTGGGTGGTTTAATCTTTACCAATCAATCAGTTGTAACCACTTGTTCTCTGCCTTTGATAATGTTGACAAGGGTCAACGAAACGCATCTTTTAGCGTCAGGCAATAATAAATGAACTGTTAAATTAACTTCTTTTGCAGCTGAAGAAAAACGCAAGAAAAATAAATAGATTCGTACTAGAATCATTGATCTCACCCTTTCTGTCATATTTAATGTGCATAATAGGTCCATTGCATTGTCACGTGCTTAGCTAAATGAACTGTGGAGTTGCGTACCTGAATCTATTATGTGCCTCTGTAACCCTTTCCACTACCGCCCACGGGATGGGTTGTTGTTTCAGATTTAACTACTCAGGACGAAGTGTCCATGTAGCACGGGCTATGGTGAGCCCGTCCTGTTATTTTATTATGCCCCGGCCATCCATACGGGATGGGTATGGGGGGCATAACATATACCTACACTACACACCAGTCACGTGGCGTGTGTGTGTGGGGGGGGGGGGGGTTGCTGTGGACGCCTCTAGTGGCCCTCTTGACTGTGGTATAGGTCAGCTGTGTTGGTGCTGGCCTCGCCACACGCGGGGCGAGGGTGTGGTGGCGCGCCGCCCAAGTACCCTCCGTCCTGTGCCACTATCTCCTCCCTAAACACTGACCCAGAAAGTGAAGCTGATGAATGCTTTCCCTCGGATCGTAACTTTAAGAGGTTTGTGTGTGTGTGTTCTTACCTTAACAGGAGTCTGCAGCATTGTCTGAATCTCCCGGCATCTTCCGAACTGTCGACTCCATACTGCACTCCCTCGATCCTCCATTTTCTTGTCATATATGCTTCTGAAATCAGACTGAAACTATGGGTGGAGGTAGTTTCCTAGGGCTGTTATTTCCCGTTCTCATTCATAGTGCTTATACTGCCCCTTGTATTCTGAATTGTGACTATTCGCTGACAGTGTGCGTATCGTAGCGTGCGGCGGCGGGGTCGACCTGGAGGGTGCCAAGACTAAGACTAGATACGGGCAAGATACCCATTGGGCGAACTTGAAGTGGGTAGAGCTGAAGAGAAGTCGATGAGAGGAGGCGCTGAAGTTGTAGAAAAAGAGCCCGGGCTAAACCCAGCTGCACGGCGAGCATTGATGCCGGAACAACCCCAAGACTGGCTGGGAGTCGAGTCCCGTCAGGAAAGGGCAGTCGTGGTAGTGCTTCTTCAGTCATGGTGGAAACAGGTTCTCTTCTTCATCAGGTGGATTCGATATTCTTTCTTCTTCTTACTTCTTACTTCTTTCTTCTTACAAGTGTCTTCATTCTTGAGTCTTCTTGCTGCTATCGTCGATTTTCTAAGGGTGACGTCTGATAAGGGCGCAGCTCACAGGTGCAGGTATGACTCCCAGTGTTCCTGTAGGTTATCTTATGGAGAACTCCGGGTCGTAGTACTCAGGCTTCAGTATGGAGAGGTCGACGTAGGAGTGCATGGACAACCATGGTGAATGGGTCTTTGACATTGTTCATGGTGGAGATTGTACTGACAGTCTCAGCTGTGTCTGGGTACAAGTGACAGGATGAACAACGCAGCGGGTTTTCTTCCTATTGGGGAGTGTTGTACATGCTGCTATGGCGGTGTGTCCACTCACAGGATGAGTGGCGCTGCCCAATACTGTCACTATGGCGGTGTGTCCACTCACAGGATGAGTGGCGCTGCCCAATACTGTCACTATGGCGGTGTGTCCACTCACAGGATGAGTGGCGCTGCCCAATAAACTCGCTCCTCGGGGCAAAATTAAAAAAAAATTAAACCTTGTCATTGTATTTACCTAGTTGTGCTTGCGGGGGTTGAGCTCTGCTCTTTCGGCCCGCCTCTCAACTGTCAATCAACTGTTACTACTACTACTATTTTTCCCCACACCCCCCACACACACACACACACACCCCAGTGAGCATCCCGTGACAGCTGACTAACTCCCAGGTACTTATTTGTCATAGGGTGAAAGAAACTCTGCCCTTCGTTTCTCGCCGGCGCCCGGGATCGAACCTGGGACCGCAGGATCACATATCCAGCGTGCTGTCAGCTCGGCCGGCAGGTTCCCAGAGTGTGTGTGTGTGTGAGTGTGTGTGTGTGTGAGTGTGTGTGTGTGTGTGTCTGTGTACTCACCTATTTGTGCTTGGGAGGGTTGAGCTATGGCTCTTTGGTCCCACCTCTCAACCGTCAATCAACAGAGGTCGTGTGTGTGTGTGTGTGTTAAGGTTCAAAATCTAGCATATCAAGAAACCCATTGAAACGTAATCTGTGACAAATGCACATTACACACAGATAGATTATCTGTATTTTATATTGTTGTTAGGAATACATTGGCCTCAAACTCAAAGTATACTGTATATACGAACCTTTATAGTGAACCTAACTTAAGGCTTCCAGATGCCGTGGATATTTGTATACAAAATAAATGCATTGGAACCAACGTGCGTACTAGTGGCTTTACAAGAATGTAAACACATCAATGCTATGTACTAATGTCCCATATTGACTGACTTTCGCCCTCCTGGGCTAAGGTATGCTGAACTGTGTAATTACTATATGAGTACTGGAACACTTGATGATATATTGGACTTGTACCCAAGATTAACCATGTAATGTATCAATTATATAATGTATGTATGTGATGTAACTATATAACCTGAGCTTGTAAAAGCACCTTCATCACCTTCAGTGATTAAGTGCTTAATTGCACACTAGTTTCTCTATCAGCTATCTCACTCTGTCAGAGTAAAAGAGACAAATGTATGTGAATGCATGTGTGTGTGTATATATGTATGTATACATGTATGTATATATGTATGTGTACTATATATGTGTGTGTGTGTATGTATATGTATGTGTATAAAGTACATATGGAAGCTGATCAGAATTACATTTCACCTTTGTAAATGTACATTAATGACACTATGTAAAAGACACATCGAACACTT